GCCTTCTCGAGCTGCACGTGATGCATTTCGACGGACTTGACATCGGTAGTGACACCGGAGGGGGCGAAGCAGACGCTCATGTTGGGCTTAAGGGTACCAGTCTCAACACGACCAACGGGCACAGTTCCGATACCACCAATCTTGTACACGTCCTGGAGGGGAAGACGGAGGGGCTTCTCATCGGGTCTCTTGGGGACCTCCATCTTGTCGAGGGCCTCCACAAGGGTCAAACCCTTATACCAAGGCATGTTGGGTGACTTCTCAATCATGTTGTCACCCATGAAACCAGAGATAGCCACGAAGTGGATCTTGTCAACCTTGTAGCCGACGCGCTTGAGGTAGCCAGACACTTCCTTCTGAATTTCATCGAAGCGGTCCTGCTTGTAGCCGCAAGCGTCCATCTTGTTGATGCCGACAATCATCTGACTGACACCAAGGGTGTAGGCGAGAAGAGCGTGCTCGCGAGTCTGACCTTCCTTGGAGAAGGCACCCTCGAAACCACCGATATCGGCGGGGACGACGAGAAGAGCAACGTCGGCTTGGGACGTACCGGTAATCATGTTCTTAATGAAATCACGGTGGCCCGGGGCGTCAATAACGGTGTACTCGAATCTGGGGGTTTCGAACTTCCAGAGGGCGATATCGATGGTAATACCACGCTCGCGCTCAGCCTTCAACTTGTCAAGGATCCAAGCGTACTTGAACGAACCCTTGCCCATTTCGGTAGACTCCTTCTCGAACTTCTCAATGGTTCTTTGGTCAATACCACCAAGCTTGTAGATAAGATGGCCAGTAGTAGTAGACTTACCAGAGTCAACATGGCCAATGACAACAAGGTTGATATGCTGCTTCTCCTTACCCATGATGAATTAAAACTCAACACTCAAAGTCTTATGTCAAAAAGGTTTTTTTGGTCGATGCGCGCCGTTCTGTCTTCGTAGCTGTTACGTCTGCAGCTCGGCAAGTGTAACTCAGTAGGGTCTGGCGGACTGTGGAACTGCATGGCGGACTGGTACGTGCGAGGGGACTCCACACACACGCGCGCGAGCAGAATCCAACGCCAAGGGCTGGAGGCAATAAAATGTCGGAGCGGCGCGAAAAGGTGTGCCGCCGCGGGGGCGACGTGGGGAGGTCCCGGAGGGGCACGGTGCCTCCCGGAAATGCGTTTAGAACCACAGGCAACGATGTATGGGAGTTAAAAGGATATGGGGGGCAAGGAGTATTGGGGGCCAAAACTCGGTGCTTTTTGGGCTGGGTCCGGGCTTTGTTGGGTACTGGAATGGGTCTAGACCTGTGCTGAGTCTTCGTGACGTCAGTTTGTGTGGTGACTGGTCCGCGTGAGAGAAATGCCAGAAATGTGCGACTCGAGACATGGTGAGGACACGAAGCAGAAGTCGCGGAGAGGAGCTCATACAGCTGGATATGGATGGGCCAGGGGGCAGGAAGCGTTACCGGACACAGAGTCAGAGTGACGCGGGCGGAAGGAAAAAGAGAGTCGTGGGTGACGTCTCGCCGAGTGGAAGACTGCCACCTTCTCCCGCGCCCGTCACCCCCGTGGGTCCTGTTCCCACCATCACACAGCTCCCGCCTCCCGAGGACAAACAACAGCTCATCGACGGACCTGTGAGGGTGGGAGACGTTTCCCCCGGCGCAGTGCTGGATAAGCAGCACCTGAGTCCGAGACCAAGTCCCCGAACCAAGCCTCTGTCCAGACCAGCAAGCCCAATCAGAGCTGCCAGTCCCTCCAGGCCGGCAAGCCCGCTCAGGGCGGCCAGCCCCTCCAGGCCGGCAAGCCCACTCAGGGCAGCCAGACCGGCAAGCCCTTCAAGACCAGCCAGCCCGTCAAATAAAGCAGAGGGGATCGCGAGTCCCCACACTAGTCCAGATGTAGGCACTGAGCAACCGCCGGCGCTTAGTCTTGCTATGTCGCCTCATCCCCCGTCGCCAACAGCTCCCAAACCGTTCGGAGTTGAGAAGACCTCGGAGGTTCAAAAGACCCCGGCAAGTCCCCACCCAGAACCCAAACCCATGGGGAGTCCGAAACCGGTGACCACGCCTGAGGCTCCAGGCAGTCCCAAGCCCCCTGGCAGTCCCGAAATTCCAGGCAGTCCCAAGCTTTCTGCTAACCCCGCGCCGTCGGCGCAAGAGGAGCCCAAGACCGTCGGAGACCGGACTTCCCCCGCTGGATCCCGCCGGGGTTCCAGACAGCTCCCGTCCCCTGCTCCGTCTGCCATGGCGGTGGAGCAGGCGGCGACGCCGTCTTCCGCTACATCTTCGAACGTCCGAGGTCCGACTCCAGACGTGACGGAAGACTTTTTGACCCAATAAAATCCAGCCATGTTCATCACTGGTCGAGATATTCACTGTCGGGCGGGTGGGAGTCAGCACTGTAACATTTCTTGTGCGTCTTGATGGTCATTGGCAAACACGGAAATGCAGAGTGCTGTTGGTACCATTTCGCAGACAAAGAGTATCACGTTGGTCCAGCAAGTCTCGGTGAAGAACCCGACCTTGGCGTCTTCCCGGCTGTTCGCTTTCAGCCAGGAGAGCCCTCTTTGGAGCTCTACCACAGCAGAAAATCCGAAGAGCAGGGGGCATAAGATGGTCAGCATCCAAAGTCTCCAACGTACCGCCTTTGCTTCTTGAATAAGAGTCCGGCAGCATTTCTTGGGGCACAATATGCCCTTATAGTGTTGATAACGGTTGTTGGCACAATGTCTGCTGTCTGTCTCGTAATGTCCGTACACCTGCAGACAACAATGCGTGGCGGGTTCTTGTGCACTATCACATGACTCCTCGAGTCTTTGCGCAAGGCAATCGTTTTGCATTAGGCAATCGTTTTGCATTAGGCAATCGTTTTGCATTAGGCAATCGTTTTGCATTAGGCAATCGTGTTGTGCAAAGCAATCATGCTGAGTAAGGCAATCACGTTGCGTTAATGGGGCATCAACATTAAGATCCATTAGTAAAGGGTCTTGCAGTCGTACAGCGGAGAACGGGTGCATATTGAGCCTTATTGCGAGCGCGCCGGCTTGGTACAGCCATGTAACACTGAGAAGTAAATGAAAAGCGCCAATGAATATCGAACCTGCTGCTCTAAATTCTCGATGAGCATGCTTTAGGTGCGCTAATGATGCCACTACTACAAAGAGCACATAAATCAGTATGTTAAAAGCGATCAAGCTAGGAGCTACATAATTAAGATTGCGCGAAGTTTTGAAATCCCGGATGTCTCCAAAGAACACAACAAGTAAGGAATAAGCCGACAGGGAAACCAGACTTGGTAGGTAATAAGCCCAAGAAATTATAAAGTATGTCGAAATGAATTGGGTCGCAATATAACATACCAGTCTTAACAATAAGGCAAAGTTAACTATGGTGAGGAACCAAAATCTAACCAATCCTCCAGAAAACAAAGTTGCTTTAGCACCGGCGTAAGCTCTAATCCATGCTTGCTGTCCAATATAAACAATCGCGCAATCGCACACTATTTGTAAACCTAGAAACCAATAATCCAATACACTGTTACTATCACCGCTTATGGCTGTTTGGCTTCCAATTATGGTGGTCTGAATCAACGGTATTAATTTTGTCGTCCTACAAGAAGCCCATAACCACGTTAGACCCATGATCACATTACAGAGGTCGCTCCCCCCGCACTCTTACTCCATAGGTTCGACAACATGGAATCGGCGCTTTCTCTGGTGGTTTTTGCGAAAAGAAAACTCCCGAACAACCGCGCCGACGGGCACGCACACGTGTGTGCGCTGAAATTATGCTAAATGAGATCAGTGACATTCATCGGCATTTCGTCGATTTGAGTGGAGTAATACTGCTCGATATCCCTCAAGATGCGGACGTCTTCATTTTTGACAAAGTTGATTGCAACTCCCCTGCGGCCAAATCGTCCAGAACGTCCGATGCGATGGATATATAGTTCACGGTTGGTGGGGAGGTCGTAGTTGATAACAAGACTCACCTGAGCGACGTCGATACCTCGGCCCCAAACGTCGGTAGTGATAAGTACTCGTTTGTCACCTCGTCTGAACTGAGCCATCACCGCGTCGCGTTCTGCCTGAGGCATTGAACCATGCATTTTTACGACAGTGAAATTCAGTTGGGTCATTTTCTGGGCCAACCAATCCACTTTCTCCGTGGTGTTACAAAATACGACAGCTTGAGTGATGACAAGAGTGTCGTATAAATCTGTGAGGGTATCAAATTTCCAGGCCTCCTTCTCAACACTGACAAAGAACTGACGAATGCCCTCCAAAGTCAGTTCATCGCGATTTACCAAAACCTTGAAGGGGTCTTTCATAAACTTTGTGGAAAGTTCTAGTACCTCATGTGGCAGTGTGGCGCTGACCAGCACTACTTGTAGGTCTGGCGGTAGGTGTCTGTAGATTTCATAAACCTGGGTCTTGAAACCTCTGGACAACATCTCATCGGCTTCGTCCAAAACGAGCATCTTGACATCCTTGCAGTTCAAATGTCGTAAGCTAATCATATGGAACACGCGTCCGGGGGTACCGCTAACGATCTGTACACCGGCCTCTAATGCGCTGACATCATCGCGCACACTTTTCCCGCCAATGCAGCAATGTACTTGCGCATTTAAATAATCACCAAGCGCAAGACAGACCTTCTGCGACTGCTCCGCCAATTCCCTCGTGGGCGATAAGATGATCACCTGGGGATTCTTCTTTGTCACCGAAATGCACTGCAGACTACCCAGGCAAAACACACAGGTCTTGCCAGTACCAGACTGCGATTGCACTATCACATCGCGACCTGTTAATATTGGCCAAATTGCGCGCTGCTGGACTGCACTCGGTTTCTCCAAACCATATGACATCAAACCCCGCAAGAGCTCCGGCTTCAAATCCAGGTCGTCAAACGACTTTATCATCTTACACTCCTCACTGCACTCATAACCGGAGCCTCCCTCATCCTCCAGCACTGGCATTTTTTATTTCTCGCATACCTGTCTTGAAAGGGCTCAAGAAAGAAGCCGCCACAAGAAAGCAATACTGGCAAAAAATTTATGTTATGTGAATGTAAGGAATCCGACGGTAACTATACTTGTCCACGGTGCGCCAGAGATTACTGCTCTCTCAATTGCTATAAACGGTTCCATGAGCTTTGCTTCCAAGCCGCCAAAAAAGAACTAGACCAGGAAGCGCTGCGCAACCACAAAATCAAAAATCCGCAACCATTCAAAAAGCAACTCAAAGAAATCCACCGCAAACTGGAAAAGGCAGATGAACAATTCGCAGGCGAACCTGATCCCATCTTTACGGAAGAACGGCTGATGGCTCTTGCTGATAAAATAAGCCAGAAAGGCTCCCTTGATTTTGAGGACTTCACCCCCCAAGAGCTCCAATACTTCAACCCTACAGAAATCATGCCGCAATGGCGTCCCTGGTGGGAATCGGATACAGCTGACGAGATTCCCAAACATCCAATGAGCAGCACACACGTGTGCTGCGCTGAAAGCACAACATTTTCGACCGCCATGGTCTACGATTTAATGTACGCCATTACCGTCTACTGCTGCATCAGCCGGTTTGTAATCGGCGACTGGGAATGCTTAGGAGAGCCGCTGCTAGAGACTCTAATGAGCAGTTCTTGTGTTTTCGATGTTCCTCGAACCTTCCAGTTTACGAGCCCACTGGAATGGACGTGGGAATGGCTGGGGGAGGTGCATGCAGATGACAGAGCAAATAGACGGGGGTACAGAACAAGCAAGTTTTGGATATCCCTTTACGAGTCTAGCGCAGGCACTGGCGACGACATCGCTCGCGATGATGTGGTTGTTGAGGACGGCCCCCAATTGCTTGAAGTTCCGCCGAGTCAGGACGGCTCTCGTGGATCTGATCTTGACTTGCTGAAGCGTGCACTCGAAGATATGGTCGTAGTGTGTGGGGATCTGGGTAAATGTCGTACAGTGTTCTGTCACTTGCAGAAGTTGTTGAAGAAAGAGTACAAGAGCTTGGGGGGTGGGACTGGAGGTGAACCTTCTAAGCGTTACAGGGGCTTAATGCAACGATTGCGGTTGTGGCAGTCGATCGTTGACAACCATCAGCCCTCCATACAGGGTAATATAAATGCTGGGCTTAGATCAATTTTTTGTGGTAACACATTTTAATGCCGCATGGCTTATGATAATAAGAAGACCGATGAGCCTCAGCAGAGACATACCTTCCAGCACTTGTGTACGAAATGTGATAAAGACCCCCAAAAGATCTCGGGAACCAAGATACCTGGAAAATACATCATCAATCTAGAAAAGGACGACGTCGGTATGCATCCCCCTGATTCTGTGTTCTCTCCTGCCTTTTCCGTGTTTAGTCTGCGTTTCTGTTTCCGTTTCCGTGCTCACTCCCCTTCCCTCCGTTTTCGTTGTGTTGAAATGTGTGTTTTGTTTGTAGTGGATACACGGGGTTCGTTCAAGGCAGATGGGTCTTCTTCGCCTGCCACTCGTGTGTCCTTATCCCGTTCCTCTATTGTGAAGGAGAAGATACTACAGAACTCAACTTTGGATGATATATATGAATTTCAAGGGAAAGGAGATGCAGGCAATCTGGGTAAAGGTAGTTATGGTTCTGTGATGAAAGCGGTGGACAAGCGGTCAGGTGCTTTGCGAGCTATTAAGACTGTGTACAAACCGAAGATTGAGAACATATCGCGGCTTCGGCGTGAGATACTGATTATGAAGTCTTTGGATCATCCCTCCATTATTCGTTTATTCGAGGTGTATGAAGATGATGTTAACCTGCACTTGGTGATGGAGTTGTGTACAGGAGGGGAACTGTTTGATAGAATCATAAAGGCCGGGCACCTGAGTGAGAGATACGCAGCTACAATAATGCGGCAAGTGTTCTCTGCCATAGCTTACTGCCACAATCTGAACATTATGCATCGCGACTTGAAGCCCGAAAACTTGCTCTTTGCCGACCCGTCACCAGTGGCACCTGTCAAAGTGATTGATTGGGGTTTTGCAGCCCAGTGCAGTCATAATCACCGGTTCACAAGTGTTGTGGGAACGCCGTATTATGTTGCACCCGAAGTCCTCTTCGGCAGCTACAACAAGATGTGCGATCTCTGGAGCGCCGGCGTCATTCTTTACATCCTTCTCTGCGGATATCCTCCGTTCCATGGCAAGGATAACAAGGAGATCCTCGAGAAAGTCAAAGCCGGCTCTTATAACTTTGATACCAAGGCATGGAAACGAGTCGCTGACTACAGTAAAGATCTCATTCGAAGACTACTGACATATGACCCGAGGAGACGGCTAACCGCTGCAGAAGCTTTGCAGCACCCTTGGATCACCTTCTACACCAACACCACTGGAGGAATAAGCCAAGACAGCCCTATCAGTAACCGGCTGGGAACTGAGCTGATCAATAAATTCAGGCTATTCCGGAAAGCGAACAAACTGAAGCAGCTGGCGCTCACAGCCGTCGCATACCAACTCAGCGAAACAGACATCACCGCTCTACACAATCTGTTTAGCCGGATCGACAAGAACTCAACAGGTACTTCCCTCCACGGACGTTCTACCTCCCTCCACTCACACACTCTATCTCCCTCCACCGACGTTCCATCATGCTCCACCCACAATCCCATCATGATCCTCTGAACACATATATTTTTCTGAACACACTTACTCCCCTGAACATTAGACGTTACCCTGACTCCTCTGACGTTGCGTTGTCGTTTTAGGTACTCTGGTCAAGAGTGAACTGGAGCAGGCACTCAAGGACATGGGCATCAAGATCACTTCCGAGATCCGCGTCCTCATCGATGAGATTGACGGGGACGGAAATGGTGCCATTGAGTACAGCGAATTTATAGCCGCCTGTCTCGACCACAAGTTTTACGAACAGGAAAGCGTGTGCCGCGCTGCCTTCCGAGTGTTCGACCTCGACGGGGACGGGGTGATCACCAAGGCCGAACTGCACAAGGTCTTGAACATGGGCTTTGTGCAAGAAGCGCTCAGTCCCAAGGACATCGACAACATCATGCGTGAAGTCAGTCCTTCGTCCGCCGCAGACTCCGAAATCAACTTCAACGATTTTCTGGAGATCATGCGCAGCCAAAGACGCACAGAAGTCCAATAAATTTACCACTATCTAAACCTACTTACCCCAAGGTATTTTCTGCGGCGTACTCTATATACAGGAAACCGTCCTCCGCCATATGCATTTCGTAAATCTGATGAACAAAACATCAGCCACACACGTGTGTGCACACTCTCACCCGAATGCACGTGCACAAGTGGGTGGTGGCAGTATATCAGCAGGCAGAATCTGCTGCAGCCGCAGTACGTCAAGTGTAGTTCAAGGTCGCTCGGGTACCAGGCATCGCGGTTTACCGTACCAGGTTGTAGTGCACTTACTTCTTGCATCAACGCTCCAGCCTTTAGAGCTGTGCCATTGATAAATAAATAGATGGTCTTCTCGTGAGTCATTGCCGAAGTCCCACAAGACGATTGTTTTATGTGCTTGTGAATAATGTATTTGAATTCGCCAACCAACATATTTGTTGGCACTAGGAATCTGTGCGAATTGAATTTAGTAGGCAGGGGGTGGCTAGTGGGGTGGCAGGCAGAGCGAGCGAGAAAGGG